ACGCAGCCCTCAGCCCCGCGCGCCAACGCCACCCTCCCGCTCCCTCTTCCCGCCCTCTCCTCCGCGCCTTCAGCCAGCGAGCAGAGCCAAAAGGAGCGAGAGCTTTGGCCCCTCGACTCAGCGCCAGCGCGGAAAGCAGCACACGTCTTTCCCCGTTCGGCTCCTCCACTGGGTGCTTTCCCGCCTTGGCTCTGCTATTATTGTTGTTGTTGCAGCTGCTGCTCTGCCTCAAAAGAACCGCCGCCTGCGGGGCTGCTGCTCCGGGAGTGAGCGCGCACTCGCTCGCTCGCTCTCTTGCTCGCGGCTCCCGGGGATTTATTAAATGCGCGTCGCGGAGTTCGCCATTCAGAACGGACTAATCTAGCTGCATGGGAGGAGATGAATGTGGCGGGGAAGCCGTCTCCTCAGCCACAGCTCGAGCGCCCGGACAGCCTCCTCGTCCCCACTTGGGCAAGTACCGTTTTGCTTCTCACCCCTCCGGCGGCGCGCCTCCCACCCCCTCACCCCTTCCCTCCACCCCCCACACAATCCTTTCAAACCAGCCGCCTTCTTTCCCTCTTTCTTTTGTATTATTATTATTATGGTTATGTATTATTATTATTCCCGGAACTTGAAGAAAGTTGCGCGAGGGGGACGGATACGCGACGTGTCCAAGAGCGCAGAGAGTTGGCCGGCGTTTATTTCTTGTGGCGTTTTTTATTTCTCATTTGTGGCTCAGGGTTAAGGTGGGACCTCCTTCCCCCGCTCCCCATGCGAAGGAAACAAAGCTTCCCGTTGTGGTACATTATAGGGAGCATCAGCAATGTGCATGTTGGGTTCCTTTCACAAGAGAGACAAGAGGAGGCGAACTGTGAAGAAAAGTTGGAGGCTTGGAAGAGGTCTTCTTTCTTGGGTCGCTCCCGGTTCCAACTGGACCCGGCGCGCAGTTGCGCGTATCTTTCCTCGGACGTAGAACTCGAGGGAGGATCCTGTGAGCGTGCAAGAAGCAGAGCGCGAGGTGGGGCGGGGGGAGGAAGGGATGACTTAACCCTTTCCTCTCTGATCTATGCTCTCCGCTCTTAAACTCTTCTCCCCGAGCCGCCTCTGCGTGGCTGATAAGAGAGCGCAATCATCATGGGTGTAGCCAGGATTTAAGTTGGGGAGGGGGGCAGGCTTCATGTTGGGGTGGGGGAAACCTCAGTTAGTTAAGTATTTTTATTGATTTACTTTATTTAGGAGGGGGCAAGTGCCGTCCTGCCCACCCCCACCCCTTGGCTACTCCCACGACATTCAGCCTCAAAATCGTTTTGCATTATGTAGTTTTGAACCACTGCATGTTTGCAGCTCAGCATATTTAGGTTGCAATCAAGGGCAATCATGGGGGTGGGGGTACAGGGGTCAGCTGTCACCCCCCCCCAGTAAATAAATAAATAAAGTAGAAATTGTAGAAAGATTTTGACAGATTTTTCTGAGTGCTTTTTTTTTGGTGGGGAGGGGGGTCTAAAGAAATAATTTGAAATAACTTTTGTTGAGACATTTCATTCTGAGTCTGCTAGACAGAGCCAGACAGAGGATGATGACAGTTGAGTGTTTTGCACCCGCAACATAAATCCTGGCTACCTGGCCCCACCCCAATAGCTGTCAACTTTTCCCTTTATTTAAAGGGAAATTCCCTTATTCTGAATAGGATTCCTCGCAAGAAAGGGGGAAAGTTGACAGCCATGGTCTCCCCCCCCCCCAAGTCCTGGCTATGCCCATGGCTGCAGTCCTGTCCACAAGAATACCTGGAAGCAAGCCCTGTTGAACTTAATGGGTTTTACTTCTGAGTAGACCTGAAGAGGATGGTCCTGCTCCTTCGGAGGTCACTCCCATTGGCTCCAATGATGCTTGTTCCATAATAACAGCACAAGCGTAACCATGGCTGCTCAGAAGTAAATCCTATTTTATTAAACGGAGCTTACTTCCAGATAAGTGGGATGATGATTGCAGTCTTAGTTGAATGAGTACAGTGGTACCTCGGTTTACAAACTTAATCCGTGCCGGAAGTCTATTCTTAAACCAAAACCATTCATAAACCGAGGCACACTTTCCCTAATGAGGCCTCCCGCCACCAATGCCCTTCCAACCGTTTGGCTTCCGTTCTTAGACTGAAGTAAAGTTCTCAAACCGGGACCCTATTTCTGGTTTTGCAGAGTTTGTAAACCAAATCGTTCTTAAACCAGACTGTTCTTAAACCGAGGTACCACTGTAGTTTAGATATATTAGTTCCACAATAGCACAGTAGGATGCACTTAGTCAATTGATTTAATTAGGGGCTAAGTAGACATAACCCTACCATCGTCTGTGTCTCTGGCTCGAACTGTAATAATTAGTTTTGGGAATTGTCAGTGTTCCATGTACTGTTGGCCGGTTGTGGCAACTTTTTGGATCATAATTCTGAAATTGCAGAGGAGTATCACTTAGGAATGTAGGAAGCTGCCTTATACCAAATCAGACTATTTGTTTATTACTTCCATATTGTCTACTCTAACTGGCAATGGTTTTCCCAAGTTGTCAGGTAAAGATCTTCTCCATACCTCTTCCCTGATCCTTTTAGTGAACATGCAACACATGCTACTGAGCCAATGCTGCAGGAACCAATTCCTAAAGATGCCTCATGCGTTCTGAGACAGCATGTCTCTATCCAAATATCCCATTCCCCAACACACTTAGACGATTAGTTTGTTGAATGAACAGTATTGTTTGGCTTAAAACTAGAGAGACATAGAATCCAAAGTGTGCTACATCAGAATTATCTCCAAGAAGAATTGGATGATCATAGTAAGTCATAGAATCAGTGAAACAACTGAAATCAATGGACCTGCTCTGATCACAAGTGAATGTTGGATATCACCCAATATCTCTAGGTTCTATATGACATTTGTTTTATGTGTTATGGCATGATGGCTCAGTTCAGTGATCAGTGGTTTTGATTGTGCCCTGTGCAGGAAATATGAGATAGGCACCGTTAGCTGCAAAGTGTTGGGAGGATTCCATATGCTGTTGCTCACATTTGTTATTTTATTATTTATCAGATCAGTTACTAAGGTAAAATTAGTCCATTAAGCCTTGGCACTGTAAATTTTTTAATAGAGCAAGCTGTATGGGCTACTTTAAATAAAATGAGTATGCCCTGGTTCAAGGATTCTGACCTTGGTTAATCATAAGACAAAACCACCATGTTGTGATGACCGCATTAAAATTCTTTACAAGCAAAATGCTCTGTTTATTTATTAATAAACAATACTTTGACTTGATTTAATGTTACTATGTGTCCAAATCCATGAAAGTAGTTATGTGTTCTTCAGTGTCTATTTTTGTTTCAGCTATGTTAAAAGGAACTTTGCATGTACCCATCAGATGTCACAGGAACATATCATAGATTCATATCACTATTCTTTTTAAAGTGACTAAATAATCTTTATTGCACTGCTAGTAGCAAGACTTATAACAAATGCAGTGCATGATGTTCGCTAGATATAGATGAAAATAGTAATTACTCCCTTTATCACTCTTAATTATTGTTGTTTGAAGTTAATTGCCTGCTTGCCTTGTCAGCTTTTCAAATATGTCAATTTTTGAAAAAGTGAGTTGCTCTTTAAACGCCATGCTAATATTTTCTGCAAACAGAGCTATTCTTACCTACTTGACATTCAGCAAGATGGGAATTTTTGAATTATTGTTAATGGAATCAGTAAATATCCTGCCGTCTTTCATAAGCTTCATTAACTTTATAAAGTCAAGAAAAGCATGAATGGAAAATGTGTGTGTATGTGCATGCATATGTGTATATATTATATATATTCAATTTATATATCGCCCTTCCTCCTGGAGGAGCCCAGAGTATTTTTAAAACCCGGTGCCCTTCAGCTGTTTTGGATTACAAACCACATCAGCCAGCTAACACCAAAACATTAGGAAGGCATCAGTTTGGTGAAGACAAGCTTATGGCATGAAGTTTTGCATGTCCTGAAAAGTGTTACTGTTGTGTTTAAAGTGGGTGTAGATTTATGAATCCTTCTTGATTTTCATATGTGTATAGACCCTGGTGAATAGACCCTGCATGGAATGTAAAAATATGTAAAATAGTCATGGAAGAGTCCATTAGGCAACAACTGTGGAAGAGTAAAGTACATGCCTTCTTACCTATTAAAAATAGTTTTTGAAAAACATGTTCTTGTTGTGGGTGTGCCTAAACAGACTGCTGGTTCTAGAGAGTGACTTACATAAAATATCTTCTTGTACAATTTCCAGGGCTCAGTTTGATTCAGGGCTTGGGCATTTATATACAGTAGAATGCTAATGTGTTTACATGAATGAGACTCTTGCAGTTTTGCTAACACCTTTTCCCATACGTTACAGCTGTTATCTACAGAAAAAGTACAGAATAGCATCAGCTCAACCTAAAGTTTGGGCAAAATGTTTATTTTATTTATTCATTCCAAAGCGTTTCTAAACTGCTTAATATTAAAATTGGTTAGTGTCGTACAGAAATACAAACACTAGAACAGTACGACCAAAGTCAGAAATTTAGTGATAACAGAGCCCAATCTTATATGTCAGGGAATACTTGGAGGAAAAAGATGTCTTAACAATGCATCTGAAGTAATTGATAGATGAGACTTCAAGTCTGGCAGGGGGAAGGGCATTCCAGAGTACAGAGGCAATGACAGAAAATGCCCATTTCCATGTGATCACCCTGGATATTCTGTAGGGTATAATGCCATGAGTAAAATTTCCCCAGATGATCCAAGTGACCTTGCAGGGCTATACAGGAACAGGCGCTGTTTCAGGTAGTCTGGTCTCAAGTTGTTCAGGGCTTTGTATGTGAGTAACAAACCCTCAACATAGCCCAGTAGCTAATCAGCAGCTAGTGCTGATCTCTCAGCAATATGAGTCCAGCTCCTCCACTCAACAATCTGGCCTCAGTGTTCTGCAACACCTGCGTCTTCCATAGCGCTTTCAGGTGAACCTCCACATAGACCTGGGATAGCTCAGTTGGTAGAGCATGAGACTCTTAATCTCAGGGCTCTGGGTTCAAAACCCACATTGGGCAAAAGATTCTTGCATTTCAGAGGTTTTGACTAGGTGACCAGGTAACTCTACAATTTTTATGATTCTAAGACCACATTACTCTACTCCAGTCCAGTGGTGAGGTTACTAATATATGAATCATATTGGCAAAACAAGCCCTGTCCAGGAAAGGGCATAGTTGGTGAACTGATCTTGTTTGATAATAAGTATGAACTATTTACCTGTTGCTTCAGGGGCAATGCAATCATGTCAGGAGCTTGTAGAGTCCCCAACTCGTCACAGAGTCTCCATTTTTCCAAGATCAATTCTATTTTTGGGGCCTTCCTTCATGTAGCCTAACACTGCATCCAGGCATCGGTTCAAAACAGTCTTACCTTTTCAGGCTGTTTTCACACACAGCATAAAAGCCACTTCTGGAACTATCATGTGCAAGCTGAATGCTAGTTTAGTGCTCATTTCCTTGTCATTTGCTTCCAGAAAAAAAAAATCCATTTGCAAATAATGTGAAAGTGTGTGCTAAACTTGGGCAATATTCCACTATTGTTCCTGAAGTGGCTTTTACATCACATGAAAGCTCAAATATAATGTGGAGGGAAAGCAGTTAGGAAAACATTGTGGAAATGAAGTAAATTGCCTTGTGAATGCAACCTCAGATGCAACAGAGCTGGGTGTCATCACAGTGTCATGCCCCTAACACCCCAACATCCACCTCTAGTGGCTTCATATAGTTGTTAACGTAGGCACCTGAATGCAAATATTAAATAGAATTTAAATATTTCCATATGGAACCCCATAGCACAAGTGACGGAGGTTACATACATAATCTCTCAATGCCATTCTCTCCAATTGGCCCCATAACTAAGTTCTGAACTATTGTAAAACAGTGCTACTAACTCCCAGCTGATGGAGACAGTCCAGGAGGACACTGTGGTTAATGGTATTGAAAACTGCTGATAGATCAAGCAAGAGCAAAAAAAGGTACTCCCCCTGCCCCTCTCTCAAAGAGGGTAATCCATTGGGGGACCAAGGCTGAGTCTCTTCCAAAACTGTCTCAGACTCAGATGGGCCAAGATAACCAGTTTCCTCCAAGAATAAAAATTGTCTATGCCCTACAGTTTTCAAGTCTTGCGACTCAAATTGGGTCTAGCAGACCCAAAGTTTTTAAAGCAATGTTGACTAAAGTCGCTTCTGGGGCACCTTTGCGAATAGGGGCCCCGAAGTTTAAGCTTCCTTCGTTTCATAATGGCTCCGCCACTGGTTAGAGTGGTGTTGCACTCATGTCCAGCTTGCAGGCTTCCCACAGGCCACTGTGAGATGAAGATGCTGGACTAGATGGTCACTGCGTTAGATGAGGCTTATTTCCAGGAAAGTCTACACAATATGATTGCAGCTTGAGCCTCCCCAAATCATGCATTATCTGTGATTCCTTTCTCCCTCTATTTTAGGATGGAAAGAGTGCTTTGGAGCCTAATCCCTTTCTTCAGCAATGAAACACTGTATGTAGCTAATTCTCATACATGGCTTGTGGAGGATCCAGTTAAGCAGGAGATCCAGGAAGCTGTAAACCCCACTCCTACTTTATAAATGTGGTAGTAACCATTTGCAGCATTGGTACACTGCTTTAGGAAAGAAAGATCCAAGTGGACCTTTCCTCTGATCAAGTATTCCAAATTATGTAACATCCCCTGTCCTCCCAATATAAATGGAAACATATACAGATAAATTAGAACCTTAGATAAATGCAATAGATATGCTTTGGCTTAAGGCACATTATTGCAGAGCTTTAAATTTGAAGGCCCTGTTCTTAAAGTGTGAATAACAATTAGTTTTAAATGCTAGCTAATGTAGGTTGAAAATGGATGGCAATTTAGGATATTTCTTTGTGCAAGGTGAAGGTTGCTGTAGCTAGTGTTCTCTTGCAGAAATGTAGATACAGGACTGCCGGTGTCTCTATAATCACTGACAGCCAATCCTGCTGCCTCATACACAAAAATGAAGACTGCAGGAAGCCTTTTCCCCAACAATGAGAGTTTACATTAGTCAAATCCTCAGGTTTTTGCATCTGTACAAGACCAACAGAAATGAGTACAATTTGTGCAGGTTAAGCTGCTGGAGGATCTAAGCAACTATTTTCATTGAATTCAACTTCAAATTAGTTTCATAATAGCTTTCTGCATGCCAGCTGAGCAAGTTCAAACCCCCTACGCCTTTCACAAGAATAAGAAAGAGCTTGCATCTCTTGCAGAGTCTGAAAAAAATGTTTTTGTTGCTGAGAGGTAGTGCAGAGTTAAGGTGTTTTGGATAAATGATATGGGAAGATACAGTTTACATCATCATCATATATTCATTTAGGATCCATCTAATAAATACATTATTGTGGGGAAAAACACATTTTGTATGGTGCAGAAGTAACAAGTTTAAGTATCTGGATTTTAAAGTAGTGGTCTTCACACCTTCCCATGTATTGATTGATGATAATCTGTTCTATTTATAAAACATTTTGCAGTATATGTGTCTTATCAAACCAGTGTGAGGCAGGTTCTTTTTCTTGTTAACTCATTCACTAATTTACGTGCAGATCACACAGTAATCTGCCTTGAGATTAAGCCATATCTGAGCTAAATCATATATGTGATGGAAATGGATAACCACTTAACCAGTCCCGTATTATACAACAACCTGAAAAGCTGAGGGACGGTGATACTTCATACCAGAGATGCCTACATATTTAAGGTCAGACAAACCAGAGGGTTAGTCCAGGTAAGCAAGGTGAAGGAAAGCTGAGGTCAAAGTCCCAAGTCGCAAACATGCAAGGAGGATAACACTCTGGCTTGTTCCAAGTGGCACCTAGGCTGCAAGGTAGACTGGGATGTTCCAAGAACCAGCAGATCTGAATAGCTGGGTGGTGTGGACACTCTGCTCTTAAAGAGGTACAACCTATTTTAGGAGCCGGAGCCCTCAGCGCCTGAAGACAGTAATACAACCTCTTCACACAGGAGGGGAGTTTGAATCACATGCTCTTCTAGGGCTGGGTCTTCTGAGGAGGCAGGGATCTCACAGGCTGGCCCAGAGGGCACATTATCTCCTCCCTCAGTCTGACATGAGTGAATGTCATGTAGATGAGCCCTCAAAATATAGAAATAAATCTCATCCATCCATCCTGTCCAGGCTCTTGAGCACACATCTGTCCGACCCATCACCACATGTTTTTGGTTGTTTTAGTCTTCGGTAATAGAGAGGACTCTAGGTTGACATCCCATTCCCCCATAGGGGAGGGATGTTTTCAGCAATATGAGAAGTAGAATGTGTGGTTATTCAACTTGAGACGGCTGCACCGTCTCTCCAGCTAAGATGTTTTGAAGGTGGAGGGTGGGTGGCAGAATCTTGCCCATGTGTGACTCGTCCAGGAAGACTGTAGTGTTCCAGACTGAAGAAACTAGCCGCCGCTGCACGAAAAAACACGTTTGTTACTAATTCATTATAGCTGTTCATTATTTCTGCAGAATGGTGCATCTCTTTGCCCCATTAAATTCTGGAAATTATACCATAATCAAAAATACTTTTCAATAAGCTTTCCGTTTCTGCTTGAAGTAACTTGTGCTATGCATCTGTCTCCCTTGGCTTTATTATCTGACTGATTGTCAGGTGGTAGTATTATTTTTTGTTTTTTTTATGGTTTGAAAGACAATTCTGAACAGAGCCCCTGAACTAGAGCCAGGGCTTTTTCGGCTGTGGCTCCGATCTGGTGGAACACTCTGTCACAAGAGACCAGGGCCCTGCGGGACTTGACATCTTTCCGCAGGGCCTGCAAGACAGAGCTGTTCCACCAGGCCTTTGGCCAAGGCACAGCCTGACTCCCTCCCTCAGCAATCTTCGCGGAGCTCTGGCCCAATGGTTGCCAGTGGCCTGAATTAATTAATTTTATAACGAATGATTTTAGAGTGTTGTTTATGCTGTACTTTCGTACTGTTTTATTGTTGTTAGCCGCCCTGAGCCCGGCTTCGGGATATAAATAAAATTTATTATTATTATTATTATTATTTGTTAAGAAGAAATGATTTAACCTTCAGAGGGTCCGATATGCTAGCAAAAAAACTTTCGGTAGAGTTGCCTGGTTTCTAGGTGGCCCTTGGGGTCCCTTTCAACTCTACGATACTAAATTCAGTTAGCTTCCAATTAAATACTTCTTTCTGGGCTCTTTAGGAAGCTAGTGAAATTAGCTTCATTTTTTTCTTTTTAACCCTGATAATCCCACAACAAGCATTACAGAATCCTGCTGTTTTGTACTTCTAGTACAAACTGCCAGGAAATCTCATCCCTTGTAGGCATTTATGATAGGTAAGTTTTTGAAACTTGGCAAATGGCAGAGTACTGGGCCCATTGTTGACCTCACTGAATTACCTTTACACCCCTAAACTCTCAGCACATCAGAAAGCTATTCCTAATTTATGGGGGTTTGTGGAATCTGACCCCAGTCTTCTGCTTCTTTGCTCCAGGTCTGTATTTTACCAGTATCGCTCAATTTGGCTTAGAGCAAACAGTGGGCTAGTAATGAGTGTCAGCAAGTGTCAAATGCCACAACTGGGACTAATATTTTATTTCATAGTAGGAAATAACTATTTTAAGTCAATTGCAGCTAACTGATTCCTAAATGATTTCTGTGAGGAAGTAGTTCAGCTAGCCAAAAGGACAATGTGAACTTTAAAAAAACAAAAACAAATGATGCTAATTTTGCCAATTATTTTTTTTCATATTTTGGTGTTGTTTCATAGTTGCATGCAAGTCTTAATGACATTAAACAGTGCGTCACCATATTGTACAATCACCTGGGGGGCAAATAAAATAGTACAATGATAAAGTATTAAAATATTGAGGATGATGATGATAATTTATTATTTATACCCCGTTCATCTGGCTGGGTTTCCCCAGCTACTCTGGGCAGCTTCCAGCAGAATATTAAAATACAATGATTCATCAAATGTTAAAAGCTTCCATAAACAGGGCTGCCTTCAGATGTCTTCTAAAAGTCAGATAGTTGTTTATTTCTTTGACATCTGATGGGAGGGCGCTCCACGGGGGGGGGGGGGGCGGCACTACTGAGAAAGCCCTCTGCCTGGTTCCCTGTAACTTTGCTTCTCACAGTGAGGGAACCCCCAGAAGGCCCTCGGAGCTCGACCTAAGTGTCCGGGCTGAACGATGGGGGTGGAGACGCTCCTTCAGGTATACTGGACTGAGGCCGTTTAGGGCTTTAAAGGTCAGCACCAACACTTTGTTAAGCTCAGGGGTTGCATAAATAAAGCAGCCACACATATAAAAAGCAGATAAAAAGATTACCTTAAGGCTGCGAGACTGAACACACTTTTCTGGGAGTGAGTTTCACCGAATTCAGTTCACTGGATTGCACTGTAAAACAAGACAGATTTAGGCTGTCATCTAAAAAGATAACAGTCCTGGTGAAACTCAGGGTTGAAGTCGCATTGTGAGTAAAACAGCTAGGGTAACACAGATTTGGTTTTGGGGTTTTTTGTGCGAAAGCTTTGACAGAGGAAAATGCAGTTCTTTGCTTCCATTGCTATACCACTCTATACGAAGTCTCCTCCACAATGTGCTGTTTTGTTGTTGTTTATTAATTTGGGGGTGACTGAGCTTGTGACATAGAGTTTCTCCTTCTTTCGCTCAAAGTAATGCCTTACGAAAGTAATCTCTTTTTCTACAATCTTGTTTTCATTAGTCTTGTAAAACAATTAATTTCTAAATAAATAAATAAAACCTCCAAAGGAACATTAAATTGTTTCATTTCCAATAGCCAGGAGACCTTTCTGCACAATAAAATCATCTGGGTTAAAATTCCAGGTGATTAGTTTTAGTTTTATTTATTTGATTAATGCGGAGGTTTGTTTCAGGAGATCACCCTGCAGTGGGAAGCTTATATTACTGCCACATCCTCTCTGAATGCGACAGCTTATAAAGTTTGCAGTCAGCCACAGCAAAAGAGGAAGAGTTCCAGGAACTCCCCGGAAAAGACCCTGATGCTGGGAAAGATTGAGGGCACAAGGAGAAGGGGACGACAGAGGATGAGATGGTTGGACAGTGTTCTCGAAGCTACTAACATGAGTTTGACCAAACTGTGGGAGGCAACGGAAGAGAGGAGTGCCTGGTTTGCTCTGGGCCATGGGGTCATGAAGAGTCGGACACGACCAAATGACCAAACAACTAAACAACAACAACACAGCAAGAGAGAATTGATACTTAAGTGAGAAAAGGAAAGGAGTCCGATAAGGGGCAATATTTTGCCAGTGTACTTTGGAAAGACATGTGCACCACTATCACATTAGATGTAATGGGAGGGTACAGCAATAAGTATGCAATAAAACATAAAAAACCCATTTAAAAACAGTACAAAATAATAATTAAAAAGAGAACTGAGGACTATTTAGTTGTCCAAAACAAAACAAAACTGCAAGTAATCCAACATATAAATAAAAATGTTTTGCTGCAGTATCTTTCCACAAAAAGTAAATAAAGGTATTGACTGTTGAATAGTGGAAGAGTTGGAAGAAGGACACAGCTCTGTTGGATTCACAGCTCTTTATTGCAGCATTTAGAACTGCTCCTGGAATCAGACTGACTGCAGCCTAGCTGGCTGCTTTATATAATACTAAGTAACTTGAGACAGTAACAACTCACAACTAGCTAACCAATCAGGAGTGACAGTTTTCAATCCTTCATTTACATACTGGTGGCCCTGAGTGAGAACTGCAACTTATGTAATGGGAGGATAACATTGTAATGGGAGTCATAACATTGACTAAAAAACAAACCCCAAATAAAAACCCCAAAATAAATAGACTGACATTGCTGCCTCCATGGTTTCAATAGTTGCTTCTGTATTGTGCTGAGCTTTCCATCTCAAGAATAGCATGGCTTTCATGGTGGAATTCTTTTGCCCCTCTCTTTATTCATATATGTCAGCAGGCAGATTTCTATAATGAGATTTACTAACTCTCCCAAGGATTAACCTTGAAATGCAGGGGCTCTTTAGCACAATCTAATCAATATTATCTCATTTATCATCTCTTGTGAAGCTTGGATTGTAGTGGGGACAAAAAATGCATTTGTAACATTTAGGGAGAAAAGTTTCTGGGCAGGAAAATCAATAGAAAAACCCAGTTGTTTTGTGTTATATCGGAGTAGTGCTGACTAGAATCCCCCGAGCCTTTTATTTAGACAGGTAATATGCTTTATGGCAATTTCATATTAATGTATACATGCTTTATTTTTATTTTCTATATAGAGAATGGTATGTTTTTGTGACCAAATGGGTGGAATAAAAGAAGATCACCTGTTTAGAGCTTTGCAATTAGCTCAACAAACTTTCTCATACATAATAGCTTTCTAGGCGTGGAACAAGTGGAAGTGGTGATGAGCCCTTAGTTATTAGCTTCAGTGGGTCTACTCTGATTCGAGGCTAATGTGCAGAACAAACATAGCTTTCCACCAGATCCTGCACTTTTCCAAAGGTTGTGATACAGTTCCCAGCAAGTTAAATGTTTCAAAATAGGCATTGAAGTTTGTATTTTGAGAGAAAAAGTACATCTTAAATACATATCAAACATATTAAACATATTAGATACATATTTTGAAATAAAGACATTTAAAATATATTTTTTTTGCAGATTAACGTGGTATGGATTTTTGAATAAAAGCATATGAAAGAATAGCTAGCTGGGGGAAAAGATTTTTCCCATCCCTGAGGACATATAAAACATTCTAAATAGGCACTGCAGTCCGCTAGGTGTTTTGAGAAGGGGCTTGGTGTGTTGTATATAGCCTGCTGGGATGCATAATTTGCATCTCTGACAACATACCAAGTTAAAAGAGGTGAATTTTTAAAAGCAACCCTCAAATTCCATAAAATATTATTTTTGTAGAAAATATTTTACTGTTGCCACAATTATTTTTTAATGTGTAGGTAACACATTTTTGCATACCATACCGCTATCCCTTTCTACTGTCTATTGCCTTGTTATCTCTGACAATATAGGCACACCCTTTACATAAACTTTAAATACAATGATATTGAAACAGAAATGGAGAACATACAATTTTTAGCTGGTGTAAATTTAAGGGCCTGTTGTATTTAAAGTATGAAAAGAAAAACAATAAATTTACTGTGGTTATTCTTGTGTTCCTGTTTGGTGTTGCTTTTGGCCAGTACTGGTATGGTGAAATGTGTTAATGGAAATTTTGAATTTATATTACCATCAACTGAAATTTAGAGTTGCGTCCTTGTAACTCAGGGAGGCAGAGCATGCATCAAGTTATATGCATTTGTTAACATATGGCATATTCGATTGATTGCAGCACCGCATGTGAAAGGTATTTGCAAGCATATGGATCCAATTTAAAGCATTATATCACAATGGAATAGTTGTCAGGCTTTGAGTTTAGGTGATTGCATCTTAAGATTTTATGTATGTATTCAGGGCTTAGATAGCTAAAAGCTGCTTTGCAAGACGACATTTTGAACACTTGTGTCTTTGCTCATCTGGTGAAACAATCAAGAGAGATGAACCAACAAAGTATTCTTTTAGTTTCACATATGAATTGGCAATTTATAGCATGAGCCTAACCATGTTTATTCAATAGTAAGCCCATTAGAATCACAAGGATTTACTTCTAAATAAGTGTTTTTAAAGGATTGCAGCCTTTGTTGAGAAGTAAAAGTAAATTGCATTGAACTCAAATGGACTTTATTTTAGGTGTGTAGGATTGCAGGCCTGTTGTCTTTGTCCATGGAGTAAGGAAATCAGCCCTGAGTGCTCACTGGAAGGACAGATCCTGAAGCTGAGACTCCAATACTTTGGCCACTTCATGAGAAGAGAAGACTCCCTGGAAAAGACCCTGATGTTGGGAAAGATGGAGGGCAAAGGAGAAGGGGATGACAGAGGACGAGATGGTTGGATAGTGTTCTCGAAGCGACCAGCATGAGTTTGACCAAACTGCGGGAGGCAGTGGAAGACAGGAGTGCCTGGCGTGCTGTTGTCCATGGGGTCACGAAGAGTCGGACACGACTAAACAACTAAACAACAACAACAAGGCAAAAACCAAATGGCACCAGCCAATCAGCCAAATGGACAAAATTCCTACCAGGCCCCTGCCCCCAAAGCAGATGACCCCATGACAGGCATAGCAAGGTCAAACGCAACAAACACCCTAAAATTAGGGAGGGTGGGCAGGTGAAGAAGCTCAACGCTGCGCGCAGGGACCCAGGCTGTCACTCAAAATTGGTAACACCAAACTCTCCTCAGCAACCTGAGGAGAGTACAATCATACTTTGGGCCAACCAAACCAACTTGCCCAGCAACAGGGGGTGTCTGGTTAACTCCACCACAACCCGTGCTCTCCATGAAGGAGAAGACGCTTTGGTGCCAGAATTAAAATGGTGGTGCCGGCAAGTTCAAACATGCAGGCCTTGAACTCTGCTTAGCACCACTGCTGGGCCTCCTTGCCATTATGGGCAGGGAGACAGGTGTCCAAGTAGCATTTCCATTAGAAGTAACACTTGCCAGACAAGCTTCAGCTGCCCATTGTAGGGGCACAAGACAGAATGATGACCTTGTTCACATAGAATCACTGCTGCTTTGGTTTATGAATGTGGCGGGTGGCTGCTGCTTCTGTCAATGAATAGGCATTGCCAGTGGATAGGGAACCCACAGACAAGGGAGAAGAGCCCACTGAAGGCAGCTTGTTGTGGGCAGTTCTGTTGTGGAGCCAGTTCTGCAGAATTGCTTAAGCAGTGAGCTGTTTTCAATCTACTTTTGCAAGAACACACAGAGGCAGAACATGTGAGAACCACAAGGAAAAACCCAGGAGAGTATTGATTTGCTGATGGGACCTTGTAGGTGCTTCTTTAAAAGTGAGTAAGGAAAGCGTAGCTCTTCCAGAATGAACACCTAGGCCTGCATCCAAAGTTGGCCACTCTGAGAGCACAATACTGTACTAGATGAACCTGCTGGATCAATCCAATGGCCCATCTCCACCAGCGCAATGCGACTTCCATGCGCACAACAGAGCTTCCTCTCCCTCTCCTGTCTCCTCCAGCTGCCCACACACCCTCAAAATCAGCTCCAGGGGCTTGGGGAACTTTGCATAACCGGTTTTGGGGGTGGGCAGGGAGAGGAGAGGAAACAGAGTCCCATTGTACCAGTGGAAATTGTCAGTGTTTGTAAAAGAAATGGTTCTGACCTCCTTTTTTACTCCTTTGCTTAGTCCTCAGACCTTAGTTGGCACAAAAGAGTTTTTGAGAAAGAGTATTCTTGCAGCGTATTGCTGCTTTTATTCTTAAAAAGTCTTCTTCTCCAACCACGACCAACAGCTTTTACACACACCAAACACAACCAGCTTTCTACCATCCAACCAACCTACACTCAACACTAACATTGACCACTCTATATATACAGGTACAATTTGGTGAAAGGTTGCATGAGTCATTGTAGGCCGCTGACTCATGCTGACTTAGTTCTTTTAGCATTAAAGAAACAGCGGCCAATTTTTAGCCGTGACAGAAATATGTATGTGGAACACTGGAAACACTCCCATGTCTGGTAGCCCCCATATGAAAAAAGCACGTTGCCATTGTTCAGTTTACAATCCACTGCAAGATCTGATGTCTTACAAAAGTTACATTATATTAAAATAAATCAGGCATGTAATGAAAATTACATAGAGCTGCTATTTGTGCTTTTAGTGTCTTATTCAGTGGGTGGTAGCTGTAGGTCAGTAGACATTCAGGATTAGCTCTGGCTGGCAAACCTTGGTATTCATTTGTAACTTGTTGATATTTTGCAATATGTGACTACGAATGGCTTGTGCCATTATTACTGTTCTGCTAATTTTATACCACTGTTTGCCTGGCTGATCACTGTAAAAATGATTAATTATTGCAGCATCTGATACATCAATATGGTTAGGCAGTGGTCCTGAATAGCAGGGTACCTTCTGGGAGCACAAGAGAGCAAAAATTGCATATGAGCAGTCTGCATCACACTATATTATATGGAAGCAAGACACAAAACTCATTATCCAAGGTTTAATGAAGCTTTGTGGGGGGAAACAAATGTTGCAGAAAGCATCTTATAGCGTTTTCAGGGAAGCAAGTATTCTCATTTCAGCTGAAATTATTTTTCCTTTAAAATTACACAGCATTAACAAAATTCTGGTTGAGGAAATGGACTTTTTGACTAGGAATGAAACTGGAATCACTTTTACACTACAGTGGTACCTCAGGTTACATACACTTCAGGTTACATATGCTTCAAGTTACAGACTCCGCTAACCCAGAAATAGTACTTCGGGTTAAGAACTTTGCTTCAGGATGAGAACAGAAATCGTGCTCTG